AAATTGGGCAACTCACCATCTTGTGGTAAACTCTCTGTGAGTGCCATCAATAACAACATCAACATAAGCAGGATTATTGTGCTTTCATCACGGTGTCTTCTAACCCTAAAGTCGTCATGGGTATAATCTTTTCCTTGCCTTCTCACACATGTAATGTCCACCTCTGCTGGTAGGCATGGAAGACTAGTTGCCGGTTCTTGCACAGCCTGTGGGAATGCAATGCAATGCCCTTTTGAAGCCGTACCTCCATGCTTCGGCAAGTGCACATGCACAGTTGGTGCTACCCTGGCTATTAGCATCTGCTGAGCATCTGACATCCCAGACAAAATCTCAGGACTGGCATTGGATCCATGCTATTCCCGTCTCACCAAATCTCTTCTGCAAAGAGTTCACATGTTTATTCTCGCCTTGCACTCCAGTCGCCCTTCCTTGCAGACCTAACAGAAACTGAATGTACAAGTCATTTTCGCCACCTCAAATGCACGAATAGCACTGTATGCCTCATTTCTTGTTGATTTGACTCTGTGGTAAATGTTCTACAACTCCACGCAATCTTTTCTCTTGCTCTGATATTCTCGTTTGGTTTCGCTGCTGTCTTTTTCTCCTCTCATCTGTTTCCACTATACCAGGCTTTGCAAACTCATAATAATAACAAACTGCTCTTGCTCTAGCAAGCAGGTCACCTTCTAAGTAGCTACTACTATTAACTTCTGGAAGAGGTTGCTGTGTTCCCAGTAAGTTACTTTCTGCCTCAATCAGGCCATTTTCTACTACAAGAGTGTCCACTTCCAGTGCCTTGTACTAGTACAAGTACGTTTGATCCGCCCAAAGTAAATGAATAAACAAAACCACTTAAACTGTCACTCATGAGGAAAACAAAACTGAAATTGCTACGAAATAGATTTCACGATTTCAATCAAAATATAAAATACAACAAAATGTAATTGTCCACTTGAGTTAAAAATCCTCAATGAAACTTGTTTAGTGTTCAGGAACTATATACTTGCTACTTTACATATCACACTTTCTCCACATAATCTCATACCAGTACTTAAAACACACTGCTGACAAATGCACCCGTGGTTGAGAATTAAAAAAACCATTTACCTTTTGTTTCATTACGCTTTGCTGCATTCAGGCAATGATGAACAAATACTTCACTGTTGTTCTGGAAGTCGAAGTCTTGCTTTAAAGAATTGTTACCTCCTTGCTTTTTCAAGCAACGCCCTCGACTAGCTCATACTACTTGTTTTCAGGCCTGTTAATCAAGCGTCTTCTGAAATTTGAAATATTTTCGATAAATGTGGTTTTTAAGGAGTTTTCTCGTAAGATTCGTAAGGCTTCCTTTTGAACACTAGGCAGTTGACAAGAGGTGCAATGTGTCACCTGGACTGACTTGGCACTTAAGAGATCAAAAATAAATTAAGCAAATGTACTTAACTGTTGTTCTGGAGGTCGAAGTCTTGTTTAAGAGAATTGTTACTTCCCTGCTTTTCTGAACAATGCCCTCAACTACAAAGGCATACAAACACACAAACATACATACATCCTTTGGTCACACATGAAGGTTTGACCGTATTGCATTATACTGCCTTCTTCATGGTGTACGTGCCATGATAAGTCCAGGGGGGAGGTTATCATCCAAGTCGCTCAAATCACTTGTCTCATCCAGGAAAATATTTGTCATTATACTTGACCCATCAACAGAGGGGTTGGGTACGTTTGAATTTTCATTTATAGCAGCTGAACTTGATCGACTGCCACAACCCTGAAATTCATTTCCAATTCATTTACTCACCCCCCAACACCAAACAGGTCTCACATCTCACTCACTCCTTCCACAAATCGTTGCCATCAAATCATGAACAAGAGGTTCCAAACATTATGCCCTTCACATATTATTCACTATTTAGTATTATTCACACACCATACCAATCCAAATTCCACCACTGTCAATGCCGCCACCACATCCATTCACTACATCAACTTCAACTCAGACTCAGACTGACACAGAAGACAGTGTAAATATTGAAAATGAGAAGAGCAAATTGTAAAATAAGCATATTCACTTCTGTTAGCACCATTTTTCACTTTATTTCTGATTTGTGTAAATTTCATTTAAATTTGCCTTTACTTTACTTTGAAAACAGGAAAGAAGCACTCCGACAAAAACTATCAAGAGAAAAAACCATTTTGCCCTTTGTCACGCAGTATCAACCATCAGTTCCCAGCCTTATAAACATTCTTATGAAACACTGGCAACTGATAGAGAAACAACCTCTTCTTAGACAGATCTACAAAGAACCTCCAATTATATCATACAAACGAGGAAGGTCTCTGAAAGATATAGTCGTAAAAGCAAAACTCTGAGATTTAAAGGCTAAAACACGTGGGTGGAAAGCGTGAGTCAGGCTTGTCAACCCCTATGATATTTCAATGTGATCTTTATCTGACAGGCCCCGATCCACAACGTGCGAGTACAACCTATGGATGTCATGTTCATGGGCACATTTACGAGGCACCAAATGAAAAACAAACGTTTAAAACAGTAAAGACAGGACTGCAAAGTCCTAGAAGAACAACGATAAAGGTGCCGTAAACAATACTTTAGAGCCACATAAAAAAGAACAGATACCCCCGAACAAAGGGGTGCAACTTGATACAGCCAATAAGAACAAACTATAAATCAGCCAATCAAATCACACTACTGAAGAATACAAACGAGTATAAAAGAGGCTAAGAAACTCCTCTAGCTGAACAAATAGAGAGACTTCTCTATCGTTCCCCAGAATCGGCAACTGAAGAGATCCATAAGATAGGATCGAAACCGCGGTCTTGCCTGACCATCCTGATAGAACGACAAACGAAAGTGTCAGAAAAAATGCTAACAGAAGAAGGCCTCCTTGCCATACCAACAACTTCCAATGATGACCTTCTTGACATTGGCGAAATAGATGTCAATGCTGTCGACGAAACAAATGACGAAGAAGAAAGCAACCTTTCTGAACCTGACCCCAAACCAAGCCAAAGATCTCCAAAAGACGCTAAAAAGAAGAAAGACAAGAGGGAGAACAGACGCGGAACCACCTCTTACAAACAATACGAACCACAGGACCAGAAAAGAAATCAGAGCCGAAAACGCCGCTACAGTGGAACACTGTCGGAAGAAAGAATAATAGAACAATCAGAGGAGGCTCTAAAAGCCCTGAATAGGCATTCCCAAAGAGGAACATGCCCAAAGACATTACAATATAACAAAGCACGAGCACGCAAAAGGGCAGATGAAGCCTTCAAAACAGACATTAAAAGGATAAGAAAAACAACAGAACAAGAGGTGGTGAACGCCCTAATCAGGTACCATGAAAGGAGAATAGCTGAAAGCAAAAAATCACTCAAACGGCAAAAGAGACCGACAGGAACTGTAAACAAGAAATCAAAGGACAACGAGAACACTCATGTCAGTATTTTTTTCTTACGGTGTCAAAACGTTTTTCTAACAGGTGCTGCAGAGTGAGGACAACTGTGTCTACAAATATCAAGTGACAAGGAAAGGTTACACAGCATTTAGTTCTGTCAGGTACAACCGAACTCTCGCCTTTAACAAAGGAGGGATCCCTAGAAGAGCAGATGGGCAAAGAAAAAATGCGATACGGTTTTTGAAGTTCACTTTATAAACTGTACCGCTTTAGTATTTTTTTTTTATCCATAAAGGACCGCAAACCCGGGGGTACTCCCATGAATTTTGGATAGGGGTGTGCCGCGAAGGTTCGTGAACTCTAACCCTATTTAAGGACTAAAAAGGCGAAGACTGATATACCCTTTTTAAGGCCCAAAGCCAAAAAATGACACCCTATTCAAGGAAAAAACAATGTCATTAATAGCATGAAAAGGAAAACTTTATTTCCTCTCGGTAACATTGGATGTATAGCATCAAGCACAAAATCATACGGAATAAACCTATAGTTTAATAATATGCAATCATGACCATAATACATCTTTCAATACTGTTTCTTCCTCGTTATTTTATTAAGCTAAGATTTGTTGTGAGAGTTCTATTAATTAAATGATCGAACGACAGTCATGGTATTAATGAATCAGTAATGTAGCTTGAAGAGGCGTTACGTGTATTTACCCACTTAACGGCTATTGAACCTCTGTTGCAAAATCATTTTGTTAATACTTAAATAAATACATCAAGTTTTTAAAAAGACTGTTCGTTTAGGCAAGCATTTTCACCCTCCGGTATTCATAATACAATTAAGGTACCCTATCTAAGGACCACACCAAGGACACAGACACAAATGAGTAAAGCTGGAGTCAAGACTGAAAGATACCTTATTTAAGGACCCAGAAACTCAAAAGCCATACCCTATTCCGTGGCACGTACCTATGTAGCCCATATATGGGAGTATCCCCCCCCCCGGGATGCCGAAGAACGTAGGATCTATAAACACCATAATATAAATGATTAGTTTTAAGGATACATATAAATATAGGGGAATAAAATGAAGACTGCTTAAAATACGTTCTGGTCGTGCTAAGTACTGCTACTCTGCTACTCTGCCAGCAAATTAATATTGGAATATGTTCCCAGAGGTACCTTAAACTGCTGATTGATTACATGTTTTCAAATCCAAAAATTAAGAGCATTAAGTAATAAATGCTGTTCCTTTGTAATTAGTTTTAATTATCACCAGTTACTGTAGACACAATGTATATAATAATTTTCTTGTTTCTACATTATCCTAAACTTGTACATAATATATAGTATTACTTTATTCTAATTACCTTTCTCATTAACATTCCATTTGTTTTTGCTATACTTTCGGAGGTATATGAGCATTACTTGATGCTACCTTATGGAATTCAAAGTGCAATTATAAAGTCTTTGGATTTGATTTGAAATATATAGGGAACATAAGTCAGTAATAATTGAAGAGCTAAACAAAGGTTCCACTCAGAACAAAGGGTGGGTGGGACGGAAAAAACGCTGTTGTGAATGCACCGAAGCCCTAAGAGAACTGAGTGGGAAAGGACAGTGTACGGCATGAATTCCCATACTCTACACCCTAACTAAAAGTCACAAGCCTACACCAGTAGGTAGGCCAATAATATCAGGTTGTGACGGACCAACAGAAAGAATCTCAGCATTTCTTGAAAGGCTGTTGCAACCTATAGCACACAGACAGGCTTCTTATCTTAAAGACTCTACAGACTTCATTAATTTCTTAGAAAGCACAGAAGTCCCAAAGCACGCGTTCATTGTTTCAATGGACGTGACAAATCTATATACCAACATTCCACAGGAAGAAAGGATCAAAACTATATGCAAAGCATGTTACTCACTACAAAGATAAACCCCCGATTCCAACACAGTCACTTGAACGAGCGAGGGATCAGAGACGAGCTGGGGTAACCAATCCCTGGGGAGAGCCCCACAGAAACATTAACAGTTCTATAACGCAGCAAAGAGAAAGACTCTTCCGTTACCACCACAACATCCACACTCACCATTTGCCGCCCCATTCCCATTCACCCCTGGCCTATTCATCTCACCCTTCCCATAATCACCTCAACCACCACCAACAGCATCACACGACCAACACCCAAACAACCACCATCATCATCATCGTTGTCATCGCTATCACATGTTTCACGATTCAATTACTCACCCCCCACACCACACACGGGTCAGATCTCATTCACTCCTTCCAACACAAATCCCCGCCATCATTTAATGACAATGAGGCTTCAAATGCCATGCCCTTCGCACATTCACCACCTTTATTCACTCGCCATACCTATCGAACTTCCACCACCGTTACGTCCATTAACAACAACAACGTTTACTCAGCAGACAACAGAAAAACAGGACAAAAGTACCCAGACCTTGTAAATATTGTAAATAGTGAAAAAAAAACATCTTGTAAATGCGTAAAACTATAAATATTGTAAAAATGAGAACGACAAATTGTCAAATAAGCATCTTCTGGACTGTTAGAAGCAGTTTCACTTTATTTCTGATGTGTGTAAAATTCATTTTAATTTGCCGTTTACAAAAAAAATTGTTCGGTATTTTCGCTACAAGAGTTGGCTATGTTTCAATGGCGATGTACGTATGTTCATTTAATGTGTTTTGTCAGGGATCAGACACGAGCTGGGGTTACCAATCTCTGGGGAGTGCCTCACAGAGGCATTAACACTTCTAATACGCAGCAAAAGGGAAAGATGCTCCGTTACCACCACAACATCCACACTCCCCATTTACCGCCCCATTCCCATTCGCCCCTGGCCTATTCATCCCATTCTTCCCATAACCACCTCAACCACCACCACCAGCATCACACGACCAACACCCCCACCACCATCATCATAAAATTCACTTTAATTTCCCTTTTACAAAAACAATTGTTATGTATTTTCCCTACAAAAGTTGGTTACATTTTAATGGCGATGTACGTATGTTCACTTAATGTGTTTTGTCAGGGATCAGAGACGAGCTTGGGTAACCAATCCCTCGGGAGAGCCCCACAGAAGCATTAACAGTTCTAGAAACATTAACAGTTCTCTTACGCAGCGAGGAGAAAGACTCTTCCGTTACCACCACAACATCCACACTCACCATTTGCCGCCTCATTCCCATTCGCCCCTGGCCTATTCATCCCACCCTTCCCATAACAACCTCAACCACCACCACCAGCATCACACGACCAACACTTCCACCACCACCATCATCATCGTCGTCGTCCTCGTTATCACATGTTCCACGATTCATTTACTAACTCCCCACAGCACACACGGGTTAGATCTCATTCACTCCTTCCAACACAAATACTCGCCATCATGTAATAACCAGGAGGTTTCAAATGCCATGCCCTTAACACATTCACCACCTTTATTCACTCGCCATACCTATCGAACTTCCACCATCGCCAGGTCCATTAACAACAATGACGTTTACTCAGTAGACAACAGAAAAACAGGACAAAAGTATCCAGCCCTTGTAAATACTGTAAAAAAAACATCATGTAATTGTGAAAAACCGTAAATATTGTAAAGAAAATAAGAACGACAAATTGTAAAATAAGCCTCTTCTGTTCTGTTAGCAGCATTTTCACGTTACTTCTGATGTGTGTAAAATTCATTTGAATTTGCCACCAGTTACCACCACGACATCCACACCCACCATTTGCCGCCCCATTCCCATTCGCCCCTGGCCTATTCATCCCACCCTTCCCATAACAGCCTCAACAACCACCACCAGCATCACACGACCAACACTTCCACCACCATCATCATCATCATGGTCATAGTTATCACATGTTCCACGATTCATTTACTCACCCCCCACACCACACACGGGTCAGATATCATTAACTCCTTCCAACACAAATCCTTGCCATCATTTCATGACCATGAGGCTTCAAATGCCATGCCCTTCACACATTCACCACCTTTATTCACTCGCCATACCTATCGAACTTCCACCACTGTTACGTCCATTAACAACAACAACGTTTACTCAAAAGACAACAGAAAAACCGGACAAAAGTACCCAGACCTTGTACATATTGTAAATAGTGTAAAAAAAAAATCTTGTAAATGTGAAAAACTGTAAATATTGTAAAGAAAATGAGAATGACAAATTGTAAAATAAGCATCTTCTCGTTTGTTAGCTGCATTTTCACTTTACTTCTGATGTGTGTAAAATTCATTTGAATTTGCCTTTTACAAAAAAATTTGCTATTATGTATTTTCCCTACAAAAGTTGGTTATTTTTTAATCGCGATGTACATATGTTCACTTAATGTGTTCTGTCAGGGATCAGAGACGAGCTGGGGTAACCAATCCCTGGGGAGAGCCCCACAGAAGCATTAACAGTTCTAGAAACATTAACAGTTCTATTACGCAGCGACGAGAAAGACTCTTCCATTACCACCACAACAACCACACCCACCATTCGCCGCCCCATTCCCATTCGCCCCTGGCCTATTCATCCCACCCTTCCCATAACAGCCTCAACAACCACCACTAGCATCACACGACCAACACTTCCACCACCACCATCATCATCGTCGTCATCGTTATCACATGTTCAACGATTCATTTACTCAGTCCTCACACGGGTCATATCTGATTCACTCCTTCCAATACAAATCCTCGCCATCATTTAATGACCATGAGGTTTCAAATGCCATGCCCTTCACACATTCACCACCTTTATTCATTCGCCATACCTATCGAACTTCCAACACCACCACCTCCATTAACAACGACGTTTACTCAGAAGACAACAGAAAAACAGGACAAAAGTACCCAGACCTCGTAAATACTGTAAATAGTGTAAAAAAAACATCTTGTAAATGCGTAAAACTGCAAATATTGTAAAGAAAATGAGAACGACAAATTGTAAAATAAGCATCTTCTGTTTGCAGCAGTTTCACTTTATTTCTGATGTGTGCAAAATTCATTTTAATTTGCCTTTTACAAAAAAAAATTCTTAGGTATTTTCGCTACAAAAGTTGGTTATGTTTTAATGGCGATGTACGTATGTTCACTTAATGTGTTTTGTCAGGGATCAGAGACGAGCTGGGGTAACCAATCCCTGGGGAGAGCCCCACAGAAGCATTTACAGTTCTAGAAACATTAACAGTTCTATTACGAGGCGAGGAGAAAGACTCTTCCGTTACCACCACAACATCCACACTCACCATTTGCCGCCCCATTCCCATTTGCCCCTGGCCTATTCATCCCACCCTTCCAATAACAACCTCAACCACCACCACCACCATCACACGACCAACACTTCCACCACCACCATCATCATCATCGTGCTCATCGTTATCACAGGTTCCATGATTCATTTACTCACTCCCCAAACCACACACGGGTCAGATCTCATTCATTCCTTCCAACACAAATCCTCGCCGTCATTTAATGACCAGGAGGTTTCAAATGCCATGCCCTTCACACATTCACCACCTTTATTCACTCGCCATACCTATCGAACTTCCAACACCACCACGTCCATTAACAACAACGACGTTTACTCAGAAGACAACAGAAAAACAGGACAAAAGTACCTAGACCTTGTAAATACTGTAAATAGTGTTAAAAAAACATCTTGTAAATGCGTAAAACTGCAAATATTGTAAAGAAAATGAGAACGACAAATTGTAAAATAAGCATCTTCTGTTCTGTTAGCAGTATTTTCACTTTATTTCTGATGTGTGCAAAATTCATTTTAATTTGCCTTTTACAAAAACAATTGTTATTATGTATTTTCGCTACAAAAATTGGTTATGTTTTAATGGCGTTGTACGTATGTTCACTTAATGTGTTTTGTCAGGGATCAGAGACGAGCTGGGGTAACCAATCCCTGGGGAGAGCCCCACAGAAGCATTTACAGTTCTAGAAACATTAACAGTTCTATTACGAGGCGAGGAGAAAGACTCTTCCGTTACCACCACAACATCCACACTCACCATTTGCCGCCCCATTCCCATTTGCCCCTAGCCTATTCATCCCACCCTTCCAATAACAACCTCAACCACCACCACCAGCATCACACGACCAACACTTCCACCACCACCATCATCATCATCGTGGTCATCGTTATCACATGTTCCATGATTCATTTACTCACTCCCCAAACCACACACGGGTCAGATCTCATTCACTCCTTCCAACACAAATCCTCGCCATCATATAATGACCAGGAGGTTTCAAATGCCATGCTCTTAACACATTCACCACCTTTATTCACTCGCCATACCTATCGAACTTCCACTACCGCCGCGTCCATTAACAACAATGACGTTTCCTCAGAAGACAACAAAAAAACAGGACAAAAGTACCCAGACCTTGTAAATATTGTAAATAGTGTAAAAAAAACATCTTGTAAATGTGAAAAACTGTAAATATTGTAAAGAAAATGAGAACGACAAATTGTAAAATAAGCCTCTTCTGTTCTGTTAGCAGCATTTTCACTTTACTTCTGATGTGTGTAAAATTCATTTGAATTTGCCTTTCACAAAAAAAATTGCTATTATGTATATTCGCTACAAAAGTTGGTTATGTTTTCATGGCGATGTACGTATGTTCACTTAATGTGTTTTGTCAGGGATCAGAGACGAGCTAGTGTAACCAATCCCTGAGAAGAGCCCCACAGAAGCATTTACAGTTCTAGAAACATTAACAGTTCTATTACGCAGCGAGGAGAAAGATATTCCGTTACCACCACAACATCCACACCCACCATTTGCCACCCCATTCCCATTCGCCCCTGGCCTATTCATCCCACCCTTCCCATAACAACCTCAACCACCACCACCAGCATCACACGACCAACACTTCCACCACCACCATCATCATCATCGTTGTCATGATTACCACATGTTCCACGATTCATTTACTCACCCCCCACACCACACACGGGTCAGATATCATTAACTCCTTCCAACACAAATCCTCGCCATCATTAAATGACCATGAGGCTTCAAATGCCATGCCCTTCACACATTCACCACCTTTATTCACTCGCCATACCTATTGACCTTCCACCACCGTCACGTCCATTAACAACAACGTTTACTCAGAAGACAACAGAAAAACAGGACAAAAGTACCCAGACCTTGTAAATACTGTAAATAGTGTAAAAAAACCATCTTGCAAATGCGTAAAACTGTAAATACTGTAAAGAAAATGAGAACGACAAATTGTAAAATAAGCATCTTCTGGTCTGTTAGCAGCATTTTCACTTTATTTCTGTGTGTAAACTTCATTTTAATTTCCCTTCTACAAACACAATTGTTATTATGTATTTTCGCTACAAAAGTTGGTTACGTTTTAATGGCGATGTACGTATGTTCACGTAATGTGTTTTGTCAGGGATCAGAGACAAGCTGGGGTAACCAATCCCTGGGGAGAGCCCCACAGAAGCATTTACAGTTCTAGAAATATTAACAGTTCTATTACGAGGCGTGGAGAAAGACTCTTCCGTTACCACCACAACATCCACACTCACCATTTGCCGCCCCATTCCCATTTGCCCCTGGCCTATTCATCCCACCCTTCCAATAACAACCTCAACCACCACCACCAGCATCACACGACCAACACTTCCACCACCACCATCATCATCATTGTTGTCATCGTTATCACATGTTCCACGATTTATTTACTCACCCCCCACACCACACACGGGTCAGATATCATTAACTCCTTCCAACACAAATCCTCGCCATCATTTAATGACAATGAGGTTTCAAATGCCATGTCCTTCACACATTCACCGCCTTTATTAACTCGCCATACCTATCGAACTTACAACACCGCCACGTCCATTAACAACGACGACATTTACTCAGAAGAAAACAGAAAAACAGGACAAAAGTACCCAGACCTTCTAAATATTGTAAATAGCGTAAAAAAAATCTTGTAAATGCGTAAAACTGTAAATATTGCAAATAAAATGAGAACGACAAATTGTAAAATAAGCATCTTCTGTTGTGTTAGCAGCATTTTCACTTTATTTCTGGTGTGTGTAAAATTCATATTAATTTGCCTTTTACAAAAAAAATTGTTCTTATGTATTTTCTCTACAAAAGTTGGTTACGTTTTAATGGCGATGTACATATGTTCTCTTAATGTGTTTTGTCAGGGATCAGAGACGAGCTGGGGTAACCAATCCCTGGGGAGAGCCCCACAGAAGCATTAACAGTTCTAGAAACATTAACAGTTCTATTACGCAGCGACGAGAAAGACTCTTCCGTT